TGATACCGCGACACGCCCACCGGGGTATGCCGCGAAATACCTCACCCATTTTGAATGGCTGCATCTGTATGTGAATGATTTAACTGTTTAAGAGGAGAGTTTAAAATGGGATTGATATTTTGAGAAAACTAATAACTTTCCCCCTCTTAATTAAAAATGTGGAAAAAATATGACAATGGTTCAAATAAATACTTTTTAGCATTCACAGGGTCATATAAGCAAATCCCTACTATCATGGAATGTTGACAGGTAATATAACTAGCATACCATAAGTGAGTGTGTAGACAGGCTTGCCGGAGTTGTCCAGAGCGGTCAGGCATGGGCTCTTGGGATGAGTGGTTCCCCAGCACTGCAGGGCAGCCAGAAGGGAGGGAGGCCAGTTAGTGATGACACCCAGGGCCTCCCCCTCCAATGGGGACATCTGGGGCCCCTCTGCCTTTGGCTGGTTGGGGTCTGGCTGTTGCACTGAGGAAAGCAACAAAACAAATATGAAGTACCCAGTCTCCTAAAAAAAACAACCACAATTCCTTTTGTTTCCAAGGAACCTTTTACCTTAATTTTCATCTGAATAATTTTTAGTTTTGTCAAGTGATGCAAAAAGTGTTGCTAGAGAATTTTCAGGAAACTGACAGTACTGACAGTTTTTTTTGTCTAAAAAAAGACTTAGAGAAAATTATATATTTTTATAATTAAATGTAATTTTTTTACACTAAGAGACAAAAGAAACCTTTTATATTTACTTCCATACACATATGTAGTTGAAGCTAATACATTACATTTTAAGCTAAACATAAATCATTACAGATATGGACTTTACAGCACAAATAAGCAGCCTTACATTTTGTGGATGATGTCACATGATGTTAATTTCGACATCATTAATTTCAATGAGTCATTCTGATTGGTTAATATAATCAATTTTCTACTACTTTACATCATAATCATTGCTCATATATAGTTAACTTGGAATTGTTGTGATCAAGTTATTGAAGGTTTTGATCAATATAAAGTAAAGATTGTTAAATAAAAAGTAGTTTATTCCCACCCAAAATAAACAGGTAACCAAAACTGCTATAACCAGTAGGAAATATTAGATGAATATATGTAAATTCTTAATGCTACTGAAGATATCTGAGACATAAAATACATAAAAAGTTTACAAATAGGCCAATCAGCACACTCATCCTGTTTAGTTGCTTCTAGTTCAGTGGTTCTCAAACTGTGTTCCGTGGAACCCTTAGGGTTCTGCGGGATGTCCGCAGGGTTTTTGTGTGCTCTCAAGAAAGGCTACAGGACTACAAGAAAAATAAAAATTTGCTATCAATAAAAAATGTGAGTTATGCTGGCTTTTCATAGCTTAAAGAAGTAAAAAAATTAGGCATATCTTCTGAACATCATCTTCAAATTCACTCTCTAAATAAATTTCTGTACTTTCGCTGCTAGAGCCAGAGGGTTCCTCAAAGGTGTTGGATGAAATTTTCTCTTCAATCTGCTCTTCTATCTTGTTTGGGCAGAAAAATGTTTGCCATTTCGCCATCCGGCAAGTCTCAAATACTCTCGCAATGAGCGAATAGGTTGTTACTAAGTATAAAGATTGCTTAGAAATCTCTGTCCCATTGTCCTCAATTTTTTACATGAATCCATGAGCACTGGCGTTGTACCAATGGTCCTCAAATCTTCTGCCATTACCCCCGTACCAAAAAAGCCTAACATGGCTCTCGACAATCTTAACAATTTTCGCCCCATTTCCAACTCACCCTTTCTTTCTAAAATTCTAGAACGTGCTGTCACACTTCAGTTACATAACCACCTCATGACAAACAACCTTTTTGAACCCCTCCAATCTGGCTTCCGTCAACTTAACAGCACAGTTCTCTCTCTGGTTCTCTTTCTATACTCATCCTTCTTGATCTCAGTGCTGCTTTTGACACTGTTGACGATAACATCTTACTTTCTCGTCTTGAGACTGTGTTTGGAGTCTCTGACACTGCCCTCAAATGGTTCAAATCTCACCTCACTGATGGCTGTCACTTTGTCTCTATTAATGGGTACAGGTCTGAAACTGGTCTTGTTAAGTCTGGTGTTCCTTAGGGCTCAATACTGGGCCCCTTGCTCTTCAGCATGTACATGTTCCCAGTTGGTCAGCTTTTAAGATCACATGGCCTCAGCTTTCATTTTTACGCTGACGATCCTCAAATGTACATCCATACCAAACCTGACACTGATGTGGCTGTCTCTATTCTATCTAATTGCATCTCTGACATAAAAATTTGGATGACTCAAAACTTCTTTCATCTTAACTGTGACAAGACTGAAGTCATGCTTATTGGTACCCCCCATCAACTTCATGAAGCCAGTCCTGTAACCCTATCTGTAGATGGCTCTGCACTTGAGCTTCAATCAAAAGTGAAAAACCTTGGGGTTCTTTTCGATTCTAGCTTAACATTCGACCCACATCTGCAGCATATTGTCAAAACATCTTTTTTTCACCTTAGAAATATCGCAAGACTACTCCCTATGCTATCATTAACTGTGGCTGAAAAGCAGATCAACACATTTGTATTCTTTCGAATTGACTACTGTAATGCTCTACTCGCTGGGGTATCTAAATCTACTCTGAACAAACTGCAGTATGTCCAAAATTCAGTAGCCAGAATCCTGACCAGGTCTAATGCAAGTGTTCACATTACTCCTGTCCTGGAGTCCTTGCACTGGCTTCCGGTCAAATTCCGTGTAGACTTTAAAATCCTCATGCTCACCTATAAGGCTCTGCATGGCTTGGCACCTCAATACCTGTCTGAACTATTATCGCCCTACTCCCCACCTCACAACCTCCACTCTTCAAATTCTGCTCTCCTTACTGTCCCCCAAGCCCGTCTACATTGTATGGGTGACAGGGCCTTCTCCTGTTATGCCCCCAAGCTCTGGAACTCTGCCCAAGGATATCAGAGAGTCACCTTCTCTAAACTCCTTCAAATCCAGACTCAAAACCCTCTTCTTCAGAAAAGGCTTTACTTAACTGGTTCCATTCTTCACCCCTCTGCTCTTCTTAGTACCACCATCCATGGTCTCCTCTATATATTGTAATTGTGTCTTATCTTGTGTATTCTTCTTATTTATTGTTGTATTCTTCTTATTTATTGTTATTGTCATCCTGTAAAGCGCTTTGAGAAGCCACCTTTAAAGGTGCTATATAAAATAAAGTTTATTATTATTATTATTATTATTATCATTGCAACCATGAGAGAAGAAAAATAAAAATGTGAAAAACCTCAGAGACTTCGCGTTACACAACTATGAGAATTTCATTGACCTGATTTCAGACTCTTCCTTACAAACAGCTTTTAATGAAATGCAGTTGGCAGAGTTTTGGTGCAGCACCAAAAATGAATATCCAGTATTATCAGAGAAAGCTCTTTCAGTTTTTCTCCCGTTTGTGGCCACCTATATGTTGGAAACCAGATTTTTGTCATATGTGTCCACAAAAATGAAGTATCGCAACAGATACAGTCGAACATGAGACTGCAACTCGTATAACTCCAAATATTAAAAAATTATAGAAGTAAGAGGCAAACTCACCCATCACACTGAGATCGTTCTGTTTCTGCTGTTTTTAAGTGAATGTTGATTAAAATTATCAATACTCTTTTTAAAAAACTTCATGCATTGTCTCACTGTGTTTTACTCAGTCATTTTGCTACCAACTTCTCCTATTTGCACCCAGTTAGAAATTGTTCTATCAAATCTATTAGCTTTTTTTTCCTTTGTTAACAATGTAAAAAATTAAACGTTTTCAAACCAGATGGAAACCCTTCTGGTTTTCTTCTAACTTCGTCGAACTGAGGGTTAGAACTTTTATTCTCAACAAGTATTACAGTGATTAAGCTGTATTGAACTGTAGGGGTGCTAATCGTAGACAAGTTATGATGTGATTAATCCATCCATTTTCACTTCTACTTTTCCTGATGAGGGTTGCGGGGAAGCCGGAGACTACCCGGCAAGCAGCAAGCGCAAGGCAGGGTACACCCTGGACAGGGCGCCAGTCCATGTCCACTATACTCCACTATACTGGGGCATTAGGAATCACACAGACTGCAGGGCTGGTCCCACTAACACCACTTCCAGCAGCAACCACAGGTTTTCCCAGGAGGTCTCTGAACCAGGTACTGACCTGTGATATGGCTGCTAGCCTCATGTGATTAATAAATGACTGAAATAAACTCAATGGGCTCATATAATGCATACAATTAAAACAAAAGCAATCAATAGTTTCTTCTTTAATAATTGGCTAAACTGTCTCTGAATAGCAGTCCTAGAATGCTTTTTGCAGAATGCTGCCATAGCTATTCCTCAAAAGTAAGAAAAAAGGTTGCTGGGGTCCGTGACATTAGCTTTGACAGAGAAGGGTTCCATCATAGAAAAAAGTTTGAGAACCATTGTTCTAGTTGATCTGAACTGGTCCAAGAGTCTCATCTAGCAGTCAGGCACACTTGTGTACATTATATTTTATATACATCATTACAGTGTCTCAGGAAGCAGGAGCCGACCCGGCAAGCAACAAGCACAAGGCAGGGTACACCCTGAACAGGGCGCCAGTCCATCGCAATCATACATGGAGACAATCTGTAGGCCACGGTAAAGGCTGAGGGGGGAAATTTGTCCTGGACACCGGGATAATTCCCCACTCTTATCGAGAAATGCCTGGGGATCTTAAATGACCACTGAGAGTCAGGACCTTGGTTTAACATCTCATCCAAAAGACAGCGCCCACTACAGTATAGTGTCCCCACCACTATTCCAGGGCATTAGGACCCAAACAGACTGCAGGGTGGGCGCCCCCCGCTGGTCCCACTAACACCACTTCTAGCCACAACCATAGCTTCCCAGGAGGTCTCCTATCCAGGTACTAACCAGGTTCAACCCTGCTTAGCTTCAGTGGGTAGCCAGTTGAGAGTTGCAGGGGATATAGCTGCTGGCTATAGTATACCTATTCTATACAATTCCCCCAGTGACTGAAATATTAGGAACATCCACCAAATAAGGCTTTGGTCCTCTATGAGCAGCAATAAAAGTTGAAACAGGATGTCAGTCCTTACAAAATGTTTTTAAATAAACATTTTAAAAGGGCAAGATACCCAAATGATTAAAGACACTAACTTAGTTATGGGGATATTTTTTCATAATGTATTAACCTGAAAACTAGAACTACACTATCTATGGACATTGAGTCTTTTTTTTTTTTACCATATTCTAAGGTTTATTCTAAACAAGAAAGACTTTCTCTAAAACTCCCCACAAATAAAAATTGTGCCAGGTATCTTGTTAAACACTAACTGCAGTTAATAAATGCAGGTAACTTCTATACAGTGCAGAAAAACTGCAACGTTGCTTAACTGATGAAGTAAACATTACAAAGAGAAGAAAAAAAACAACGTTTCGGCCGTGGAGCCTTTTTCACACCTGAAGAAGGCGCCACGGCCGAAACGTTGTGTTCCTTCTTCTCTTTTCAGCATGGAATAAACCTATTATTTGTTCCTTTGCAGACTACGTATGTTGAGGCAGCTACCCACCTGAACTAGTACAAAACATTGCTATAATAATTTCTTTGAGAGGAAATGCATCAGACTATTAATGTATATAAGCATCACTGCTGGTTGTCTGTACAATGTTCAACATTTTAACCTTGGTTTAGTTTAGTTTTTTTCATCCACTGATTTTCAATACCTTTTTGTCTTGCCCCAAAACAGTTTCTTACACACAAAAAGTCTGGTATTTACTGATTAAAGAAAAAAAAATGAAACAGCTGCATTGCGAGATTGAGACAGTTTTGTTAACCACATCTGTTAAGAATACTGACATTCAGTACATACAACTCTGTGACTTTGTGTCACTCCTTCAGTTCTACCAAGAATTCACCATGGTGCAGGCTTATTAAAACACTAAATGCTACATTACTTGCTTTGACTAGTTAATGTCTCATTATAGTTTAGGGAACAGCCTGCTCTAAAACAACTACCAACCCAAAATTACATCTTTTCAGACCCAGTGACATCATAAGAGCAAACTGCTCTCTGAAAAACAATTTCATACTACATAAAATAAAATAAAAAAAACATCACATGATAGAATCTTCACTATGAACCATTTTTAGTTTGAGAAATACAGTATATAATACATCTATCTCAAAATTAGTTAAATTTCTTCAAATAAAGTCTGCTTGGTCACTGTGTATTGTACTGCCAGATGGTTATGAATAATTTCAAGATAAGGCAGTGGTTGAAAAAATAAGGGAAAATCATGGATAATATTCCAGTTAACAGCTGAGTTCATACCATTAATGTCACCTCTTTTCAGACCTTAATTGTGTTTTGCATGTTCAGAGCCTCTTTCAGGGGGTAATGACAATATAGTATATTTTTCATTGCCACTGACAGATTGGCTGTCTTTTACATTTGTAACAATATTTTGCATGTAATAAAAATATCTACTTTAGCATTTTTAAATTGAAAATAAAAACGAAACCAAAACATACATTCCAAGTTAAGTCAAGATGTTATGAAGGAAGACCAAAACTTGTACTTCACAAATCCTGCCCAAACACAGGGTATTCATACAGAAATCAGCCACACTGGGATGACAGCACAGGGCTTCTTAATAAAAGTCCAATTTGAACAAAGATATGAGCCAAAATCTGTATCTCCATGTCTTCTGAGGTTGCAAAACTGAATTTCGTTATGGGCTTGTGTGAAAACAGGTCTATTCAAGCAGGGATGCCTACCCTCAAGCAGCTCCTCAAAATCATCAACGAAGAACTCGCACAGAGGTGGGCGCTTGGGTCTCTTCAGTGTGTTGAGCAGCTGTTGGATCTTTGACGATACCCGGCTGTTGACAGGGACACCTGGTGATGGTGTAAGGTGAGAGAGACAGAAAGTGGTCAGTGAGCTGGGTTATGTGGGAGACAGAGAAATAAGGCTAGGCAGAAGGCAGAAGTGACCTCTGCAGGGTCACTAGGAAGCAGTGGTGGTTAGTTAGGATTTGTAAACCTGTCAAGAGATTCAAAGCTTTGAAATTGGAAGAAAGTAATCTGGAATTAAAGCAATGGCCTAAGTCTCCTATTAAACTTGTGTATTTGTAAATCTGTCTTTTAATAAAAGGAGACTCAAACTGATTATTGGTAGACTTCAAAGGGTTAAACTTCTTTTATTATGCCATTAGCAGTACCTAGTAGTAGTCCAGTACCTTAAAAGATCTCCATTTTAGAATTACTGTGGTAAACCTATGCTTTAATATATAAATATATTAATATATTTGTCTTTCCACAACAAACTAAGAAAATAATATAAATTAAGAATAAAATCACCTGACAGAAAAAGTGTACAGTATTGACTCTCTTTGTCCTTGGAAAGCTCCAATAATATGGGATGGTTTATCTTACTTTTTCTTTTCGTCATACAGTGCTATGAAACAGTCTGTGAACTCCAAAACTAAATATGGAAATTTCACAATTTTATGATAACCTTCATGAATCAAAACAATACTATTATGTAAACATTCAAAATATTATGTGCATATTCAATAGGGTTTATGGTAACCAATTCAAAGTCTCTTGAATCAAAATGGTGCATGAATTAAACAATGAGGTACAGGGGATGTAAAAAGTAAGTGAGATTAATTATGTAGCATTATGTAATTATGTAGCACCCAGCTGCCACCATGAATTTTCTTTTAACAAATAAACATTTCTTTAAAAAACTAAAATAGCATATATTATGGACACTATATTGACATTTTTGATACTTCTAAATATCCCATTCGAAGCTAAGTGATTAATTAATAACAACGAATAATTTCAAACTGCTACTGTACTGCCACTACAGTATAGCCTGTTTGAAATACATTTATTTGTCCTGCATCAAAGTTTAACTCCTTCAGAGCGCCCTACATTACAAACTCCGAGCTAAAAGGAACGTCACAACATCTCCAAAATAATCACAAGTGCATGAGTTGATGGATTCAATAATAATAGAGAAATCATAACAATAACCATGCAATCCAACTGAAAGGACACTGAAATCAACATGAAAAGATATAAAAATCAGTTAAAAACACTTATGCACAAAAAACAGGTGGTTTTTCTTCCGCGCGATCAGATAAGTGTTTGTATAAGCTGTAAATTCTTTTTACTTCTTAATTAAACATTTGAAACACTTATATTTTGTAAATGCAACAAGCATTCCATACAGAAACAAAATAATGTTTTCTACAGGTGTTTAGCAGATTAGCAGGTTGCTGACAAAATAGTGCACCGTTCACTAACCGTCCACCACTGCCCAGTGATATAACTTTAATATAAACAAGATCTAGCACCTGGTGCAGTTTTTTTAAACTTATTTTTATTTGAATCCCAGCTGTGAGTTCATAAAGCCAGAATTACGTACTATTCCTATGTCTGTGAAATACCTGATCATTTACTGTAAATCTTTCAATGCTTTGTTTGTGTATAATCCAATCACAGTGGGGGCAGGGTGTGTGGGGAGAAGTTTAGGCTGCAATTGAATTGGGGATCTGTATTTTTCAAACTTGAAACATTGTTTTCTCTAAAGCATGTTCTTCCCTCTTCAGCTGATCTTTTGCTGCCTATATATTCTTACAGAGCTCCCTACATGAATTCTCATTCTTGACTGAGAAAGGTTTAGAGAACTTTACAGCCATTTTTATTTTCAACAGATTGTAAATATGATGTTTACATTGGCATTTTTATATATTTTTCACTTAAGCGTATGAAGTGTTAACTATCCAGCCACTGCAAGCCACTGCAGAAGCCACAATTAAATAAAAAATAAACTTTTTTTTCTCCTGATGGTACCTGTAACAAATTGTCACATTTCACATCCTTGTGAAACAATCATGACGTTCTCATCAGATCAAAGGTTTGATGTTTTTTTTATTTTGAAACCGTGATCTTGACATGCAGGTTTGAAGGAGTCAACAGCTTCAGATTTAAAAGGTTATTAATCATAACTTCCATGTCACATTAACATTGGAATGTTCTTTTTTTACGATTATAACAGACTTCAGAATGCTTCGACTGATTCTAAAACTGGAATGCATTGGAATGTTCTTACAAGTATAAAAAGAGGTGATACACAACGTGTCTCCTCTATAAACTCTTCAGTTTACAGAAAAATTCCGCCAAAGCCACACAACATTGTCCAATAATACTCTTCTTGTGTCTAATTTATAGTTTAGCAGGATTTGCGCGATAAGCACATTGTTTAATGGGGATGACATTACCCACGTCTATATCACTGTACAACACAGGTTTGAGTCGGAGTGTCTGTTAATAAACCAGAGCGCCTTCTAATACATATAACTACTGCATGATTTCTTTATCAGTTCCAGATAAATGAGGGGAATTAAATCAGGCTTATTCTTTTGACCTGTGTGCAAATTCCTAGTTCCATGAACTGGCAGTCACTCTTCATTGTGGCAGAACTTCCCATGACAGTCTGTCCATGGGCTGATCGAGTCTGTGTATCACTACCGGGACTGTATTAAATGCTTAAAAAGGTCTACAAAATACCAATGTCATCATGTTTTTATTGTGACAGTGTGTCATGTTTCATACTGAAAATGTAACACGTTGATCTGCTTTTGTTCACATTGTCTACCATACTTGAAAAATTAAGACCCCAGTAATGTATTTCTTTTGCACACTGGTGTATATTCTGACTTGCACTGTATCCTCCGTTTTAAACACAAAGAGCGAAATTAATACAAATTAATGGATAAATCAACAGTTAATAATTATGCCCAAAGTTTCACTTTTATCTTTCTGAAACCCACTACTTCCTCTACATGTTAAAAGAACTTGTTTTTGCTCATAAACTATTAAATAGCATGGAGATTAAAAAAAATCAAAGTAGAGCTTTGCTATGAGCATTTTTTCAGCATGGGGAGGTGAATGGATAGAAGCTTACCATCCGCGGTCTCCAGAACACTACTGTTGTTGTAGCCTCGGGGCATGCCGCGGACTGAAGCCATTTGTGGTCGCTCCACATAGACAGAGCGCTCCAACAGGCCTGTCACATCAGGGGGTGCCGAGTGGTTATCTACAGGTGAAAAAAAAACAGTGACCTCTTGAGGCGCTACCCCATTCAATAATTAACAAAAACTTAGTTAACTAAGTAACTAAGTTTTTCAATTAAGGCAAAGTGCTTTTGTTAGGTAAGAAAAGGAAAGGATGTTTTAGATGGAACGTGAAAGGCATACATTCACTCTGATAATAAATCACTTTAACTCTGCATTTAGAAGATATGCATATACATTTTTATAGAAGGTTCTGTATACACTCTTACCAAATTAACAACAACGGCAAAGTACTACAATTTTCATTTTTGCTCTTTGTTTTCAGTTTATTTTTGTCATAGCACGAGCCAATTCTGTTTTCCAGATAAAAAAACATTTAAACTGTGTGAACTGTGGGGAAAAAAGGACAAACTGCTTTTCAGTTATAATCTTCTTACCAATCTCTCAAGCAGAGCTCATAGATGACACAGATCACAAATGCCACAGTCCATTTAATGCACATTTTAGGACTGTGCAGTTTCACAGTTAAGCACAAAACAGATTAATTTTGGTTTTTGGTTGATTTTTACAAGCGTCTAAATGAGACATCCAGATAAAATATTTATTCAGCACAATGGAGATACTTGGAGTGCACAATAATCACATGTACCATGTTTGAATTATTGTTAATCCTAAATCATTATGAAATGAATACTGAATAATTTACACTATATCAGAATGTAGTGTTGGGGAAAGTTAATTTAAAGTCCATTAGAGTTACAAGTTAATTGTATAAGAGATTACTACTTTAAGAAGTTAGAGGAAATCCATTTTAAGAGGTATTGGATTACTTTATAGAGTTACTCTACACACTACATACTTCGTTGTTACTGATGATTACAGATGCAGCCACTCAGAACATGTGTCTGTAACACAGTGCGGATGTTATGTGATTCACTAGCCAAAGACGATCAATAGGTGGCACTTGTGGGCGTTAGATGTTGGTGAAATGGTTTACTCATTTAATCTATTTACCTACTGTTTATCATCTTTAAATCCACTTAATAAAGAAATATTAATATAGAGTTTTGTAGCTAAAGGGGCATTGTGGTAGCAGACAATAAAAATAACAAAAGCATAACATCTCTAAACCTAATTAATTTAGGAATATTAATATATTATAAATACTATATATGGCTGATAGTGGTAGGTAAAAAATATACAACAGCATTCCACCTTCTTCATACACATTTTCTGCATCTACAGTGCCTTGCGAAAGTATTCGGCCCCCTTGAACTTTTCAACCTTTTGCCACATTTCAGGCTTCAAACATAAAGATATAAATTTTTTATTTTATGTGAAGAATCACCAACAAGTGGGACACAATTGTGAAGTGGAACGAAATCTATTGGATTTTTGAAACTTTTTTAACTAATAAAAAAATGAAAAGTGGGGCGTGCAAAATTATTCGGCCCCTTTACTTTCAGTGCAGCAAACTCACTCCAGAAGTTCACCGAGGATCTCTGAATGATCCAATGTTGTCCTAAATGACTGATGGTGATAAATAGAATCCACCTGTGTGTAATCAAGCCTCTGTATAAATGCACCTGCTCTGTGATAGTCTCAAGGTTCTGTTGAAAGCGCAGAGAGCATCATGAAGACCAAGGAACACACCAGGCAGGTCCGTAATACTGTTGTGGAGAAGTTTAAAGCCGGATTTGGATACAAAAAGATTTCCCAAGCTTCAAACATCCCAAGGAGCACTGTGCAAGCGATCATCTTGAAATGGAAGGAGTATCAGACCACTGCAAATCTACCAAGACCTGGCCGTCCCTCTAAACTTTCAGCTCAGACAAGGAGAAGACTGATCAGAGATGCAGCCAAGAGGCCCATGATCACTCTGGATGAACTGCAGAGAACTACAGCTGAGGTGGGAGAGTCTGTCCATAGGACAACAATCAGTCTTACACTGCACAAATCTGGCCTTTATGGAAGAGTGGCAAGAAGAAAGCCATTTCTCAAAGATATCCATAAAAAGTCTCGTCTAAAGTTTGCCACAAGCCACCTGGGAGACACCCCAAACATGTGGAAGAAGGTGCTCTGGTCAGATGAAACCAAAATCGAACTTTTTGGCCACAATGCAAAACGATATGTTTGGCGTAAAAGCAACACAGCTCATCACCCTCAACACACCATCCCCACTGTCAAACATGGTGGTGGCAGCATCATGGTTTGGGCCTGCTTTTCTTCAGCAGGGACAGGGAAGATGGTTAAAATTGAGGGGAAGATGGATGCAGCCAAATACAGGACCATTCTGGATGAAAACCTGTTGGAGTCTGCAAAAGACCTGAAACTGGGACGGAGATTTATCTTCCAACAAGACAATGATCCCAAACATACAGCAAAATCTACAAAGGAATGGTTCACAAATAAACGTATCCAGGTGTTTGAATGGCCAAGTCAAAGTCCAGACCTGAATCCAATCGAGAATCTGTGGAAAGAGCTGAAAACTGCTGTTCACAAACGCTCTCCATCCAACCTCACTGAGCTCGAGCTGTTTTGCAAGGAAGAATGGGCAAGTATTTCAGTCTCTCGATGTGCAAAACTGATAAGAGACATACCCCAAGCGACTTGCAGCTGTAATCACAGCAAAAGGTGGCTCTACAAAGTATTAACGCAAGGGGGCCGAATAAATTTGCACGCCCCACTTTTCATTTTTTTATTAGTTAAAAAAGTTTCAAAAATCCAATAGATTTTGTTCCACTTCACAATTGTGTCCCACTTGTTGGTGATTCTTCACATAAAATAAAAAAATTATATCTTTATGTTTGAAGCCTGAAATGTGGCAAAAGGTTGAAAAGTTCAAGGGGGCCGAATACTTTCGCAAGGCACTGTAAGTCTTTAACTTGGTCACTTACTGAGGTAGCAGCCATATCACCCTGCAGCTCTCAACTTGCTACCCACTGAAGCTCAACAGGATTGAGCCTGGTCAGTGCCTGGATGGGAGACCTCATTGGAAGCTATGGTTGCTGCTGGAAGTGGTGTTAGTGAGACCAGCAGAGGGCACCCACCCTGAGATCTGTGTGAGTCCTAATTCCCCAGTATAGTGGCAGGGTCACTATACTGTAGTAGGCACTATCTTTCGAATGAGACCTTAAACTAAGGTCCTGACTTGTCAGTGGTCATGAAGGATCCCCAGGCATTTCTTGATAAGAGTAGGGAGTTATCCTGTTGTCCGGGCCAAATTTCCCCCCTCTGCCTTTACCATGGCCTCCAAATTGTCCCCATGTATGACTGGCTTGCACTTGTCCTGCGATGGACTGGTGCCCTGTTCAGGGTGTACCCTGCCTTGAGCTTGGTGCTTGCCGGGTAGGCTCCAGCTTCCCACGACACCGCATGGTATAAAGCAGTTTGGCAAATGACATGACTTACTGAGGTTATTTTGGACAAGTTCTAACATGCTCATTAGAACCATATTAGGTTTACTTGGTCACTTACTGAGGTTATTTTGGAAAGGTTTTCACATACTCATTATAATCTCATTATAATCATATAAAATGTAATTACATACTTTATAAAAAGCAATGTTTTGACCATATTTTAGAATTTCCTTAGGATCTGAGCACCACTGATTCACATAAAACAGATGTCTTCACCTTGAAGCTTAAGTGAATGAGTGTACCGGACAGCCGATCGAAGTGGAAAAACCCTGCAGATTCACCACGGAGTTCTATACCTCTGAACTCAGCCAGGTTTCAGTGAATCAGAGCACAGAACAGTTAATGTAGTCCTATCTTGATGGAACAAGCAAATCCAGTTTATCCATCCTGAAAGCGCTGTGACACACCTGAAACACAGGCCTGTCACATTCTTAGCATGATACGAGCATGACGTCATTAGCACTTAGACTAGTCTTAGACTATGGCAGTTTTTCGACTGGAATGTTATGGCGTCAAAAGGGCTAGTAAATAATATTATACCAGTGACTTAAAGAATGTACATATTACTTGTCCTGTCTGATTTTAATAATTTTCAAGTAACACATGCAGTAATAACCCCTATAGTTATTGCAAATTCAGTATTGTCAGGATTCTCGAACCAGATTTATAATAATATTGCTTAGAAACATGGAAAAAAGTTTCTTGATTTTAGAATCTTTGTGTAAGCTCTAAGTTTTCTTTACTTTTTAATGAAATATTTTAAAGACTTTGATTTTGTAAACGCAACACACATATCGTACAGATAAAATCGCATTCATTCTCCACTCTTCAAGTGGTGTGAAGCAATCAGAAGGTCGCTGAGGAAACAGCACATCACCCTCTGAGCTCTGTCAAAGAAGAGGCGGCAGTAAGGAAGCTCAGCAATACCGTTCTGTAGCTTGCACTGGGTGTGTCCATAAATTATCATTTAACATAGCTTTCTCACCAGTTATTTTTATGTCTGAAACCATCGTTAAACAAAGCAGGTGCTTACTGTACTTCCTAATGACATTACACGTGGAAAGAGTATACAATTTAATAAGTTTTAATTTTTTATAAATTTTAGAAATGTTTCATCTATACAAATACCACATACTATTCTCAATTATATTTTTGAATGTTACGTCACAGTCCAATATTTTATGTACATCTAAATAAGAAGGTCAAGTGTTAGCATAAATTATTAGTAATCAACGTTGAAAAGACAAGAAAGGAAACACAAGGTTTCGGCTGTGGAGTCCTCTTCGGGTGTGAGCAATAATCAATTATATTAAAATTTGCACTGTAGTAAATTGTTGAACTTCTTCCAGATATTGTAAATACATTAACATTTACAATACTTTGTTCAAATATACATTAAATCTATCAGAAAATAAGTAAAATCCAAACTTATGTAAAAACATTAAGGTAAAATATAATTTAAAATTAAGCCAGGATTAACTTTTTTCTGTCTGCGTCACTTTGCACTCTCTCTCACCTGCTCTGATTTTGACACAATGATTAAAAATGGGGACAAGTCAGGTAGGCAAAGGGTAGGGGGAGGGGGAGGCGTCTTCTCACCTCTA